CGACCCGGCACGCAGCAGGTCGGCCCGGCGCCTGCAGCGGCCTAGAGGCCGGGGCTCCCCAGAAGGCGCCGGCCGGCCCGCCCCGAACCCACACGCAGCCGCTCCTGGGGTTCCGCGCGGGGCTGGGTTTGGCGCTCTGCCACGCGCGGTTCTCGGCGGAGAAAAAAGGACGCTGCTTCGAATGGTGCCGACGCCCACGGCTGCTTCTCTTAGGGTCAGGGGGGCGCCCGGGAATGCAGCAGGACTCCGGGGTCCAGTTTCGACCCCAGGCGAGAGAAGCCCGACCCGCAGGCTCAGGCCAGGAGCTCTGCGAAGGATGCCCTGGCTCCGAGGGCCAGAGCAGGTCCCGCGATCCCAACGCCGGACCCAAGAATCCAGAGCCCTCAGCACACCCTTCCCTCCTTCCTCCTCTCCTCTGTCTCTGGTTCTTTGCCCGAGAGCTCCCCCTCGGGCTTCTTCCCAACGGCGACCTTGGCCGCAGCCCCCGCCCGGGGCTGCAAAGCCCGTATGGAATCGAACCCGAGGCGCACGCCGCTCGGAATACAGGCCAGGGTACCAGGAAGGACTCTGACTGGCCTGCCTCGGGTCACGTGCCCAGCCCCGGCCCGATCCTCGTGGCGGAGGGGACTCGGGCACCCGGACTGGCTCTGCGGGGTTGAGCGGCTGCCCCGTGACCTGGGGTGATTGACAGCGTCCCCTGGCGTCACAGGGCTGGAGCGAGGGCGAGGCAGGCCCCCTCCGCGGTGGCGCAGCCTGGGAGCCCAGCACTTTGGAGGCGGGGGGCAGGGTTGCCCGAGCCCAGGAGGGCCAGACCCGCCTGGGCCGTCTAGCGAGACCTTGTCGGGGCAGGCGGGCAGGCGGCGTGCGGCATCAGAGCCCCAGCTACTCTGGAAGCTGAGGTGGAAGGATCGCCTGAGCCCGGGAGGTCAAGGCTGACGTGCGAGCCCGACTCCAAGAAAAAAAACTTTTAGTTAAGTTTTAAAAACAAGTGGCAGCGGGGGTGTCACAGACAGATGGGAGAATTTGGGACAACCCTGCCAACACGCTCCACCTCCCGCCCATCGGAAGGATGCTAAAAGATAATGAAACCTGGATTCTGCTCTTCCCATTTTCAAAGGACACTTGGCAGTGGCCTTCTGCTCGAGGTGGACTCTGGGTGAGGCCCTTTCAACTGGGATGGCTCCACCCTGGCTCCCCAAAGGGCCCCCCACCGGCCGCCAGCGCTCTGCCACTTGCAGCTGCCATGTTCTTTCCAGCTCTGCTTCCCCTGAGCTGGGCCCATGTGGACCCTGAGCCATCCCCGCCCCACAGACGCCCGGTATGGTCCTTCTCTTGGCCTCGAAGACTGTCTTGGGGAGGGAGACTTGGGGATGGAGGGACAAAGCCTTCAGCCTTCCGGAGCACGTCACCTTGGGCGTCCTCCGGGGTGCAGCTGGGAAGCCATTAGATTTGGGCCGCCACCGTTCAGGAAGTTTGGGCTGGAGGCCCCAGGCAGAGGCCCCAGATGTGGGCAGCAGGGGTCAGAAGGCAGAGCACAGGGAGCCCCGAGGGGAGAAGGAGCAGGAGTGGAAAACAATGCCTGTCTCAAAACGGTACTGCCCTCACTTGGGCGAGACACACACGGCAAAAGCGATGAACCCTCAGGACTTCATCATCCTTCCACTCGGTCATGTTCACTGATGACCGGGGGCGGTGGTGGACCCCTGGGGTCTAGGGCTAGATCAGGAACACACATGGGGTCATGGAGACAAAGGTACAAATTCTAGCACCCAACCATGAGGACCTGATGGAGGAGACAGCAGAAGGGTTGCTAGGAGCTCGAGGAGCCATGGGCTTTGTCTTCAGGGAGCCTGGGAAGGCTTCCAGGAGGAGGCGACACTGAGCTCCATCTGGAATGACGGAGGGGAATTTTCCAACTCTAGAGGAGGAAGGCTGCTCCTAGCCACAGAAGCAGCGTGTGCAAAAGCCCTGGGTCATGAAAGAATAACTTCTGGGTTTCAAGAGAGCCTCAGGCTAGAAAGGGGCCAGAGGGGCCACCTGGTCTGATGTCCTGGTCCATCAGGGCCCTCTCATGAGTGAAAGGTTGGCCTCCCTGTGACAGTCCCAGAGGTCGTCTGTCCCTGGGCCCCATTCACACCCTCCTGTGTTTCCCACCGTTAGGATATCACGCCTCCTGGGCCCTCCCGAAGACTGGCCGCCTGCTCTTACCATCCCAACCTGAAATACACCCCAAAACCCTGCAGTGACTATTGAGTGCAGAGCTGCTGTACATGGCCTGTGTGCTCGATGGTCTTGGACTTAAGATCCACGTAAGGGCGAGGAAGAGTGTGGTAGGCTTTGGTCCTGTTTTCCAGCACACAGTAAAGGGAAACTGAGCTTCATGGAGATTCAAGTTTGTAAAACTCATTTGCCAGCTGTGTCTTCATGGAATTGTCAGGGACATCTCTCTTGGCCAGAAACCACCCCTAAGAGTAGGAATAATAGCTCAGGCCAGGTGTGGTGGCTCACATTTATAATCCCAGCATTGTGGGAGGCTGAGGCAGGAAGATCATTTGAGCTAAGGAATTCAAGACCAACCTGGGCAACAAGCAAGAGAGATCTCTTCTCTTTAAAAAAAAAAAAAAAAGAAAGAAAGAAAATGAAAATGAAAAAGGGCCAGGCTCAGTGGCTCAGCCTGTACTCCCAGCACTTTGGGAGGCCCAGGTGAGGATTGCCTGAGCCCATGGGTTCAAGACCAACCCGAGCAACTTGGTAAGATCTCATCTCTACAATAAATAAAAAGAAATTAGCCAAGCATGGTAGCTCGTGCCTGTAGCTGTGGCTACTTGGAAGGCTGAGGTGGAAGAATCACCAGAGCCCCCCAGGTCAACACTGGGGTGGCCATGAGCATGCCACTGCACTCCAGCCTGGGTGACAGGGTGAGATTCCAATTTAAAAAAAAAGTAAGAATAATAATTCCAGGTTCACACCTGTAATCTCAGCACTTTGGGTGGCCAAGGTGACAGGATTGCTTAAATCCAGGAATTCAAGACCAGCCTGGGCAATATAACGAGATCTCGTGTCTAAAGAAAATAAAAAATTAGTCAGGCGTGGTGGCACACGCCTGTAGTCCCAGCTAATCGGGAGTCTGAGGTGGAAGGATCGCCTGAGCCCAGGAAGGGAGGCTGTGGCAAGCTATGATCCTGCCATTGCATTCCAGCCTGAGCAGCAGAGTGAGATTCTGACTCAAAAGAAAAAAAGGAACAGCCCCCGTTGGTGTATTGAGGGCTTTCCACACGCTGTCTCATGGCAAGGCTGGTGATGACCTCCCTGGTACAAATGAGAGAAACATTCCAGCTCTCAGCGCCAGGCCCACAGCGCATTCTCTGTAAATACATGTTGAATTGGCTGGGCTTGGTGGCTCAGCCTGTCATCCCAGCACTTTGGGAGGCCGAGCTGAGTGGATTGCCTGAGCCCACAGGTTCAAGACCCACCCGGGCAACTTGGGGAGACCTCATCTCTACAATAAACCAAAAATTAGCCGGGCGTGGTAGCACACGCCTGTAGTTCCAGCTACTTGTAAGGCTGAGGGGGAAGGATCTTCGGAGCCCAGCAGGGCGAAGCTGCGGTGGCCGGGAGCGGTCACTGCACTCCAGTCTGGGCGACAGAGTGAGACTCCAACTCAAAAAAAAAAAAGTTGAATAAATGAATGGCGGCGGAGGCAGTGAGAGCTCCCACTTTGGCACACTGCCACCTCTCAGGCAGGAGACACACGTGGTGTCCACATGGCCCACTTCCCTTGTCTCGGTCATAAGAAGGCAGGGCTTGCTTCCCTAAGGGTGCCCAAGGTCGGCCTGGAGCTGGTGTCTGTTTAATGAGGCGGACTCTTCACGAGGGTCTGTATGTGTGTCCTGTACCACCACATAAAGATGAATTCTGTTCTTTACAGCAAGAATCTGCCCCCTCCACACTTCACCTTTAACCGAGCACAGACCAAAGGGATTGTATAGCCTCTGGCGAAAGAGAACGTGGAGAAAAAGATGGTGCCTCTCGGATCTAAAATGTTTCTCTTTAAAACATTTTAGGCCAGGCATAGTGGCTCACGCCTCTAATCCCAGTGCTTTGGGAGGCCGAATCGGGAGGGTTGCTTGAAACTAGGAGTCCGAAACCAGCCTAAGCAACATAACATGACCTAGTCTCTGAATTAGCCAGGCATGGTTGCGCACACTTGTAGTCCCAGCTCTGAGAGAGAGAGAGAAGGGAGGGGAGGAGAGGGGAGTGGAAAGGGGCGGGAAGGGGGAAGGGGGAGGAGAGAGACCCCCAATAGAGAAGACTTCATCTCTCTTGAGTTATGCCCGTTTTTTTGTTTTTGTTTTTCCTTCCCAGAGAAAAAGTCAGGGAAGGGATGGTCCGTGGAGGCCTGACGCCTAGTGGCCAAGGCCGGTAGTACACACATCCACACACGCACTGCCCGGGCGCGGTCTCAGATTGGCCCATCGGTTCCATTCATTGGAACGATGGCTTTTAGCGACAAGAAACCCCTGCCATGTAAACGCTCCTACCTGGAGGCCTGTGCATCCCACTTTGACAAATATACTCCCAAATAAATAAATAAATATATGCCTATTATTATTAGCTACAGATACGTTTTATTAACTATAAAGATTTCCCCAGGGAATCTATACCAGTGCAGGTTGGAGAGCACCCTGGGTTCTAACAGCAGGGAATTTTTTTTTTTTTTCTGAGTCGAAGTCTCATTTCATCACCCAGGCTGGAGTGCAAGGCACACCCATGGCCACCCCAGTGTTGGCCTGCTGGGCTCCGGCGATCCTTCCACCTCAGCCTTCCAAGTAGCCGGAACTACAGGCACGCACTACCATGCCCGGCTAATTTTTTTGATTTATTGTAGAGACACGGTCTTGCCAAGTTGCTGGGGCTGGTCTCGAACCTGCAGGCTCAGGCAATCCACTTGCCTCGGCCTCCCAAAGTGCTGGGATGACAGACTGAGCCAGGAGACTGGCCCAGCAGGGACATTAACAACAGGAAGAAATCTGCTCCTGGCTCTTCAGGTGATGAGTGCGGACCATGATCGTCTGAAGGAAAGTGTCTACTGCCCACGTCGTGGGTCACGCTTTCCCTCCCTTCAGGTCTCTGTCATTTCCCTTCATTTTGTTTCTCCCTAGCATCACCATCTTACATACTCTACAGTTTGCTTATTTGTCTTGTTATCTGTCTCCTTCCCTGGTGTATAAACTCATGAGGGCAGGGATTTGAGTCGGGCTTGTTTCTTCTTTTTTTTTTTTTTGAGTTGGAGTCTCACTCTGTCGCCCAGACTGGAGTGCAGTGGCCGCTCCCGGCCACCGCAGCCTCGACCTGCTGGGCTCCGGCGATCCTTCCGCCTCAGCCTTCCAAGTAGCAGGAACTACAGGTGCGCGCTACCACACCCCGCTAATTTTTGATTTATTGTAGAGATGAGGTCTCACCAAGTTGCCTAAGCGGGTCTTGAACCCGCGGGCTTTTTTCTTGATGAATCCTCACACCTAACATGGGACCTGGGACGTAACAGATGACCAATCAATATTCTTGGAATGAATGTTAGTGAACTCAGTGTTTAGAAAACATGATGGTGCACTTTGGGAGGCTGAGGTGGGAGGATCACTCGAGTCTAGTAGCTCAAGACCAGCTTAGGCAAGACCTCATCTCTACCAAAAAAAAAAACCTTTAAATTAGCCAAACATGATGGGGCATGTCTGTAGTCCTGGCTACTCAGGAAACTGAGGTGGAAGGATTGCCTGAGCCCAGGAGGTCAAGGCTGCAGTGAGCCATGATCATGTCACTGCACTCCTGCCTAGGTAACAGAGTGAGACCCTGACTCAAGAAATGTTTTAAAAACGATAAAGTTAGAAAATCACTTATCTGTAACCATCATTTTAATAATGGACTCAACCATGAATCATCACTGGATGTTAAAACTTTGGGTACATATTTGATGGGGAACAGATTATATGTAGTCTCAAAGTGTCTCCCTGCAGAATACCTTAATAATCACAAAACAAGAAATGCAGGGAAAAAATCCTGGCAGCAGACACCCTTTCACCAAGTAATCAAAGTTAATGTCACCAATTGTCACCCATAACTGGACAAACCAGCCTCCGGTGCCTCCTGATACAATGCACTGAGAAGGCTTCTGCGATATTCCTGCTAAAAAATGGATAGACTGAATTTAACCATAAGAAAACATCAAATAGGCCAGGCTCGGTGGCTCAGCCAGTAATCCCAGCACTTTGGGAGGCTGAGTCGAGAGGATTGCCTGAGCCCACGGGTTTGAGACCCGGGCAACTTGGCGAGACCTCGTCTCTACAATAAATCAAAAATTAGCCTGGCTTGGTAGTGTGTACCTGTAGTTCCAGCTACTAGGAAGGCTGAAGCGGAAGGATCGCCGGAGTCCAGCAGGTCAAGGCTGCGGTGGCCGGCCGGGAGCATGCCACTGCCCTCCAGCCTGGGTGACAGAGTGAAACTCTGACTCAAAAAAAAAAAAATCAGATAAACCCAAATTGATGGATATTCTGCAAAACAACTGCCCTGAATGCTTCAAAGTGTCCATGCCATGAATGAAAAAGGCAGGCCAAAGGACTGCTCAAGACTGAAGGTGTCCCAAGAGAACTGGCAACCAAAAAAAAAAAAAAAGTCCTGGATTGAATCCTAGATCAGATAATTAAAAATCACAAAGAAGGACAATGTCAGGACAACTGGTGAAACCTGATTTTTGTGTTATGGATTAGCACAGCAGTCCCCAACCTTCTTGGCATCAGGGCCTGGTTTCATGGAAGACAGCTTTTCCATGGAAGGGGAGGAGAGAGAAAGTGAAGTCCAACCTCACTGCTCACTGCAGCCACTCCCCAGCGCTAGCATCACTGCCTCTGCTCCACCTCAGGTCATCAGGCATTTGAGTCTCATAAGGAGCGTGCAGCCTTGATCCCTCACCTGTGCAGTTCACAATAGGGCTCACGCTTCCATGAGAATCTAATGCCCCCCCAATCTGACAGGAGGTGGAGCTCAGGCAGTGGGGAGCAATGGGGAGTGGCTGTAAATACAGATGAAGCTTCACTCACTCGCCCTGTGGCTCACCTCCTGCAGTGAGGCCTGGTTCCTGACAGGCCACAGACTGGTCTGCAGCCCAGAGGTTAGAGACCTCTGCATTAGACAATAGCATTGTATCAATGTTAGACTGCCTGCATGTGATCACTGTGACATTGTCCGTGTAGGCAAACGTC